GTTCTTGAACTCTTCTAAATGTGATAGTTGCCCACGACTATCGCATCGAATACCGCCCTCATATTTCAGCCAAGAAACCTTCATCAAAGGATGGCATCGAATGATAATTCTCCAATCAATGCTCCATGGGTGCAGTCTTTAATGATTGTATTTTCAGGTCGACTGATTCCGTACTAGTTGATTCCTAATCACAGAAAGTTTGCAAGATTCGCCCTACAAAGCTTGTTACCATCTGACTTGTTGAGTCATTCATTGTCTCGCGATGGTTTTGTAATGATCAATCATCCGCATTCTTGTGGAATTTCCGCGTATACTACACTCGTTCAACATGCTAACTCTCTGTTGTACAAGACAGCGTGCGCTGTCTGGACTTTGTACGAATTATTCCTTGACGAAGTATCTTGTGAAGCTAGGTCGTTAGACATGTTAGGTAGTAAAGTAACAATAATCTATTTTACGACGAATTTTGTCGCGTACGGAGAAAGTGAAGCGTGACGGGTCGGGGCTCATCATCACTATTCCCGTGTAATAATGATCGATCGGAAAAAGTCCGAAAGGCTCTTACTCGACAAAGTTGATTGTTTTTGCGTCTTTGCAATAAATGTTGAAAACGGCTTGTGAATCAATATTTATTTTTCTGCTACATTTAATTCTGCCACGCTTATGTGCTGTTTCGCAAACCTCATCAACTTCGTTTTTATTGGTTTTTATACAGAAAATTGCTCAAATTGAAAAGTTGAAAGCTGATCAGGCTACCGGGAAGCAGTTGGATCCAAACCAGATCGAAAAGTTGGCCACGGAACAACAGTTACGAGCACAACTTGCCGAACTAAGTCTTTCCAATTGATAGTGATCTTTTTGTGATGCGGTGAATAATTCTCGTGATGTCCTACATCCTTTGACCTGTGCATATGTTTACCTGTTGAAATAAATGCGATGCTTTTTGGGCCATGAATACGTTTTTCGTTTTGCTCATACTCGTCCAAAGATCGCATGTTGCAGTTGAAATCTGATCGAACCCGTTCTGTTTGATACAATCATTGGTTTTGAATTGCCCCCGACTCATCAGCACTTCCCGAGTCTCCGCGCCTTGTTTCACAACGAAAAAGTTAACTGGAAAACTCTTCCAGTTCTAGGGGGTGTTCCATGATCAGCCTCACGCATGAAGCAGGCCTGACCACACTGTGGCACACTTCGCGACCTTTCAATTACTATCACTTCGACAGTCACACCATTTCGTTCTGACTGCGANCCCCCCCCAGACACACGCGGCTTCTCATCTCGCTTTCCTAATGGAGTCGCGCGATCCCACCAGCCGAAGATAAACAGACCAACCTGTAGCTAATTTACAGTCATACGGGGTGAAAATTGTTTTTAGAGGAGAGTGCATGCTGTCATTTCACTAAATACGTTTATCTCTGTCCGTTCGAATGAGGGTCAATCTGACCACTACTACAGTTTTTGGATTTCCACCTTAGGCGCAATTCTTGGCAACCCATAGGAAGATGTCCCTTGATTTCATTATAATTGCACTGTCTTTTTCTGACACAGTTTCGCATGGGTTAGTGATAATTCAACTCAAATATGAGGCAAAATTCTTTTCGACCGTGTCGAATTCGGTTTGTGGCATAAGCGCCTTCTTATTTCGAAAACAACACCTATTTTGGTGACTCATGAATGGTCCAGTGGCATAATATTGAATATCTGTGGTAGCTTCGCAAATCCAAATTCGTTGGGCGACTTTCTCGTGTGAATTCAGCTCCGAAATGCTATGTCGGTCCGTGAAAAATGTTGAATGACAGCTTGACGTTGTTGTGACTGGGGCATTGGTTCATCTCCTTGGCCACAACGGTCATCTGTTCAGAATGATCGCTCCTTCGCCACCCCTCAATCTGCATCACTAATCAGATACCAAAGAGGATGGAATTGCAGATAATTGAAAAATCATGAGGTCATTTAAGTCAAGTCAAGAAAAGCTTTATGCACCCAAAGGGTGAATTTTCAGCAGTTTATGATTTTTTCAGGGGATAGATAAAACCAATTGTAAACAAAAAGGACAATATATATACACTTTAGTAAATGGGAAAAAAATTAGTTCACGAGTTTTTCCCTGAGGTGGGTGAGAATATAATAACGAATAACTAGGAACCGAGCTAGATATGGAATTACACTGTTTCTGTGTGTGGAAGTACTCGCAGGAAGGAGTTGGTATTTGGAGCGATGATAGTAATGATAAATATTTTTATCGGATTGCCAGAAACGGTCCACTGCTTTCTCAACGTGCTTTATAATAATAATAAACGGGACTCCCTAAAATTAATCTGTTCCGAAAAGTCTATCATCGATGCATAGGTAAGATTTTTCTAAGGGCTGTTGGGCGATATTGGTGGCCGTGGCCTGGAATTTTGAGTTGGTATCGCTGATGTGCATTACTCCTCATGGTTCGAGGTTCTAACCCTACCACCATCACCTAAATTTGCTAGTGGGTCTAATTTAAACGTCTATTTAGTCGCGATTTGAGATGATTTGACAATCGGTGTCTCAGGTTCTGGTTGACCGATCCGTATAGTCCAGTAGATGATTCGCTTTGTCAATGGCTTTCATCCAAGGATGTACTGCGCATCGGGGATGGTAAAGGAAACATTCTAGGAGGAGCCAGTTCGTTGATTCTGCTTTTCGATTTAGGGGTGTCGTACGGTGGAGGTATAATGGAACAGTGATGATGTTCCACAGTTCGCCGGTTTTTCGGAGGNGGGGGGGGGGGGGAGAACTAACTGAAAGTTAGAAATGCGACACCGGAATGCAGTCGATTGGATTGGATGACTGGTCGTACGTTTTTCGGGACCCATGAAAAAAAGAGATGGTAAACGCAAGTTCGACTAAACGGAAACCAAAATACTACCGGTGTTATAAACCCTAAAGTCCAGTGCCAAACTGAGGAATCGATTATTGAGAGAACGGCATGAGAACAGAGCAAATAAGGTTACACATGTGATATAGACCAGAACAGTCAGAGTTGAATTATTGTTGGTCGAACAGCTCGTCAGTCTGTTTGCATATTTTGTCGACACACTACACCATAATTCCGCTCCCGGACGTTGTCTGGAAGCCGCAGATTGCATCTCTGTGCATGCATCGCAGTACTACTCACGAAGTGTGTCACTGCACCAGCAGAATGAGACTTAGGAAGCGATTGCTCGACTGTGAGCTAGTGACCCCAAGGACAAGCCCTGGATGAGACAAATAGCCTTAGGTTGACTTCGATCAAGAAGAAACGGCGAAGTGAATGAAGCTTCATTCCACATATGGCCGCAGTATTCAAGTGTAGAGTGAAACTGAGCCTAGTAGAGTGAGAGTAAATCGAGAGCTGTCCCATCCGAAAGGAGAAAACTGACCTGGAGCGCAACGCGAAATGCAGGTTACTGCGTGAGCATAAAAAAAGGAGTAGAAGGATAGTCCCAATAAATTGTGTGAATTTTCGGAACAGAGATATTCGCAGTACAAATTTTATGTAGAGGATAAAGATTCACGTCGGAGAGCACTGGATATGAGTGAGATTGCATGCACATGAAAAACGAGTGGATTGCTATGACCCGAAGCAGAAATAAAACCGAAATCAGAATTATGAGAGATACTGCGGAAGGAGTGGTCATTGCTATGCTGCCAGTGGCTGATGTCAACGAACTGTATGTGTTTGTGCGTGTGAACTATGTGGGATTTTGAACGTGAATTCAATTTGGTCGCGATTCGTGCATAAAGTCATTGCTTCTGGAGCTGAATTTTCACACTAAGGGGGACCCGTGAGAGCTATTTAATGGGAAAACCAATCGAACAGGTACGTGATCATGACTGTGAATTGCGTACGCGCGTACTGATTGCGTTTTGTTTGATTCCGTGTCATCATGCACGAATGATCCTTGCATTGTGACCGCCAAACGGATATTGGTAGAGCAGAAGCTGTTGTCATTATTACTAGACCTGACTGCCCGAAAAATTCCGGATAACCGTTCAGATTGTCCACTGCATGACATTGTCCGTTCTTAGAAGCTTGCGAATTTCGCTCAATTTTCTGAATGTGCATATACACTTCATCTGCCGTTTTGATTATCCATGTATAAAACTTCACGCTAAATGGCTCGTTTTGCGGTAGCATTCATCAAACGGGAAGTTGAAATCAGATGAACAGGTCATTCCTGCCTATCCACACCACGTTTCTTTCTTTTAAAACAGAGAAAACATCAGTGAAATCGATCAGATTAAGCTATTTAACAATCAGGTTCTTTTCATCCAATTAGTTAGAACGAAAATCTAATCCCGGGCTTTTAGCATTCATCTAAACCAAGTCACGGTATTCAGTTCGGTGTGCGCAAAAGATTCTGACTCCATCGATCACATGACATTGGAACTGACCTCCCCCAATTGACTGTACCTGCCGGCCCAGTGTATTTACCAAAACTATTTACCATAAATGCCAGATTTTTTCCAATTTTAGCGAATGAGGAAATTAGGCGAAATGGGAACATCTAGTATCTTCTTCCCTCTAGTGTGGCAACATAGCTATACTACGCTCAGCAGTATGTATAATGCTTGCTGTGCAACCGCAGATATACTCTGCATACTGTGATAGGGTATCTCGTTCAGCTGCATTGTGAAAGGTGACCTTTGCTGTGGATTTCCTGCGTCTCGCGGGACAGTTCATGTTATAGCGTGAATCAAACAAGGCATCTCATTTGCAGATGCGTCAACAAATTCGCACCTTTATAGCCTTCTATCTAACATTAACTAATAGAAGATGAGTTCGCAGGTTTATTTCAATCTTTTTTTCAAAAACTTTAATGTATCTGTTCGGAGGGGGGGGGGAAATTCCAATGATAAAGACACAAATCTACTCTTTTGACAACAATACCGATCTTTTGATGTCCACAACTTTGGAGTGTTTTAATCACCCACCCTGAATTGCGATGATCGAGAGCTATTGATCGTCAGTTCATTTTATCGTCGTTAATGTGTCTGAAAGACATTCATCCCAATTTACCGCTCATCAAGTGGTATATGTGATTCACCCCTATCAAACCATTGTTTTTATTCGTTTTTGCTTTATCAAACAAGTGAACGTGAAACGAATATTTGCTTTTCGGTATACTTATCGTTGGTTGTTAAGGGTTGCATAAAGCATCTTGGTGAATGTACAATCCACTGAGTTCTCGGTGAAATGTTTTTTTGTAGATGCTAAATTCGGTCAACTGATGTCCCAATCGAATCCAGAATTTGCAGTCATGGATTGCTTTCCAGTCCAGGACTCGCCGGTGGCAGCCGATTCGGTTTTGGTGTCCACTAGTCTGGAATCCAGTGAGTATAAACTGTTCACTCAGTCTAGTACGTTTTTTCTAATCATTTCGTATTCAAGTCAGGACAGATACGGCACGGGGAACTGCATCAGCACATCGAGTGTTCGTTGTGGTGTCTCTCCAGCGTTATTCGCTGTCCGCTATCTGACCCCTTGCATCGCGGATTCTTGTATCACTGTAATTTAGTTTCATGTAGATCTGTTGGTTCTCTGCTGTTTCATAAAGGGGGCCACGGTTGATTGTGTGCCAGCTGAACTGCTCTTTTGTAGCCAGAGCTTAGTAAAGGTTGCGCACGGTGGGATAGTTGGGACCAGAGATGTGGTATAAACCGATGGAGGTCGAATGAGGGAAACAGCAAGCATCTTATGCTTCCTTGACAATCACCGGTCATTTTATGCTGTTGTACACGCCCAATGTGTACTTTTATTTTTAGTAACATACGACTTCCGTAAGGTTTTTGGTTAGACTTACATTCCAGCCCAAAGCATGTACTGTGCAA